AATGCAGAACACCATGAAATTCCAAAAGGTTCACATACTTTTTCTTGCAACTGTATGTATGCCCTCCCTTGCTTAAGGGCTAGCAAAAAAGTGGCATGTGAATGTTTCATTATGCTTGGGTATATTTGCCAGCTTTTTAAAGTTCTCTGAGAACTAAGTTACACCTCTCCTCTTCCCAATATAATCAAGTTAATTTTACCATGAAACACATACTCATTATTTTGGCCAGAAATAAAATGTATGTAACTTACACTAGTGCTTACAGTCTTGCCATGAACCAGATTTTTCAGAAATGCAGCAGACACCAAACATTTACGAAAACCATCAGTTTTTTAGGAACTTCATCCTGTATATAAGTGGATCTAGGAGTATTTGGCTCCAGCATCTAATATTGGTCAGGTCATCTGATAAATTTCGGTATAATATTTCCTTGTGTCCATGAGGAATATAAATGTCAACATATAAAAATACATTAAAATATTTATAATAACGAGGTATTTTTAGGAGTTGCTGAACACACTCTTATTTATAAGCAAGTGCATATTTAACATGATGGTACCTCCCCTCATAGAGCCAGTCTGGTGTAGTGGTTGAGGCATCAGGCTAGAAATCGGGAGTCGATGAATTCTAGTCCTGCCTTCGGCACAAAGCCAGCTGAGTGACCTTAGATCAACCACTCTCTCTCAGCCCTAGGAAGGAGGCAATGGCAAACCACTTCTGAAATCTTCCCAAGAAAACTGCAGGGACTTGTCCAGGCAGTTGCCAGGAGTCAACCCTTAGTTGAAGGAACACACATACACCCTTCCCCTCGTATACTGATTTCAGAGAAAAAAATTAGAGATTTTTGCTTTTTAAGAGATGTTGTGCTCCAAAATGGAATTAAAATCTCACATATACTGTCTGTACAAAATTTTACATTTTTTCCCAAGTTAATTGTTTTATTACATTATAAAATGCAAATAATATATTATAGAATACAGATGATAGCTGAGCACAGTGGTATTTATACAGTAGAAACTAGAAATTGTTAACACTATGATAATTAGATAAATTGAACCTTTTAAAGTTGAGGAAAAAAATTATATCAATGTTAAGTTTTTTTTTTCCTTCCTAGCGTTTTTCCTGCAGGTACAGAGTCTGCTTTTTTATTCCCGGATCCACCAAATGTTGATCCTTTGGTTGCGACACAATTGACTGACTGGCTTGTTGCCCAAGCCTGACATCGTAGGCTGAGAGAGAGTGACTGGTCCAAAGTCAGCCAGCTGGCTTTCATGCCTAAGGCAGGACTAGAACTCATAGTCTCTTGGTTTTCTAGCCTGGAGTCATAACCACTAGACCAAACTGGCTCTCTTAAATGAAATATAATTATATATTTAAAATATATATATTTAAAAATATAAGAAATTACATATAATTTCTGAAATGTTAATGAACATAAGGTTGCTTAAATTGTACAATTAATGCCAAATATAACATTGATGAACTGTTGCAAAATGCATTGAATTGTATTTCCAAAATTCTCTGGATAGTTCTGTATGTCTTTCCAATATTGATTTATTTCTTGATTATTACCTGTCAAATGCAGATGGTATTTCACTGAGTGGGTTATCTGACAGCCAGATTCTTCCCGCAAGAGATTAATTTCTCCTTGCATTAAGTATCTTGTAATTATTTTTGTTTTGTAGACATTGATTTTGTATCCAGAGAATTCTCCAAAGTTGTGAATTGTTTTCATCAACTGTTTTATTGCCCTTTGTGGTTCTGTGATAGTTAATACTACATTGTCTGCATAACATTTAAGCTTATATTCCTCTCCACAGGTTTTAAGACCTGGTATTTGTTTATCAACTCGGACTTTTTCTGCCAATATTTCTAGAGCAGTGATGATTAGTAAGGGAGAAAGCGGATATCCTTGCCTTGTGCCTTTACATATTTGAGAGTCTGCGGAGAGTGCTTCATTGCCCATAATCTTTGCTGATTGCCGTTGATATCTGCTTTTAGACAAAGCTTTGAACTCTTCTCTGGGATTCATTTTATTCAGTACAGCCAGCAAAACTGGCTGCTATAAGTTATCAAAGGCATTTTCTGCATCCAGAAAAAATAGTGCAGCTTTCTTCCTTTTTTTGTTAAAACTTTTTACAGAAATCTGACTCTGACATAGTTTTCCTTTGTTCATTTGGCATGGAATGGTCCACATCGAGAGAAATGTACATGCAATCCAGTCTCTTGTCTTGTGTCCAGGCAAATAGCAATTATGCGACTAACTTATGCTAAGAACTTATCCATTAGGAAGCCCAGTAGAGAAGAGGTGTAACTCATTTAATACTTTCTAAGTCTGCTAAAAAAGAAGTTGGATTGCTACTTAAAAATGTTATGTTTATTAGATATGTATAATATTGTGACCTGTTTTGTGGCTTCTATAGGCTGAAGAACTTTTTCTCTGGGTTCCCAGAAAATTGATGATGACCGTAGAATCAGCTAAAAATTCAGTCCTGGGTAAGAGGAGTTTTGAGAGTATTAACAGATAAGTCTGAGGTGTAATTATAGGATTTTTCCATGGTATAATACTATACAGTATATTGTCAAGTAGAATTAATAGAATTAACCATCTATTTAACAGTAGTATAGAATGATAGAATTGTAGGGTTGGAAGGGACCTTGGAGGTCTTCTAGTCCAACTCCCTGCCCAAGGCAGGAGTCCTCATACCATCTCAGACAAATGGTTGTCCTATCTTTTGGACATTGTAATAATTAAATGCCTATCTTTGAGTAGTGATATAAAGAAAACTTGGAGAGGAACTAGGAATAGGTTTTTGTCTAGAAAAGCTAAGCGTTCTATTTTGGTAAAATTCCCAAGTTTGTTAAATGCTCAAGAATATTCTTAATTCTAAATGTATGTCTGGGCCATATACCATATTTATTGGTGTATAACACGCATTTTTTCCCTTAAAATTTGGGGCTGAAATCCTAGCTACGTGTTTTATACCGATACTCAAGTGGCAGGGCTGGGAGAGTGGAGCCTTCATTTGAGCCAGGGCTGTAACCAGGGCAGCTCCGCAGAGCAGGAGGTGAGCGGTGGGTGAGTGAGTGAAAACCGGTGCTCCTGATCACTTGCGCGAGCGAAAACCGGTGCTCTCCATCGCTCGTGCGAGCGAAAACCGGCACTCCCCATCGCTCGCGCGAGCTATCAGCTCCCCCACCACTCACCTCCTCTGTGGAGCTCAGGCTATGGGGAGTGTGGTTTTTGCTCGCGCAAGTGATGGGAAGCACTGGTTTTTGGTGGCTCGCCCGCCGCTCACTTCCTGCTCTGCGGAGCTCAGGCGTGAGTGATGGGGAGCGCCAGTTTTCACTCACTTGCCTGCCGCTCAGAGCTCCCTTTATTTTGCTTCCAAGTCATTTATTTTAAATTTAAGTTTTTTTACTCAAACTCCCTTCTTAAAATTAAGGTGCGTGTTATACGCCTGTGCATGTTATACACCGATAAATATGGTAATTACAATTTATTGTGTGGTTCTCACAAAAAAAATTGAGTCAATGAAAGAATGCATGAATGAACATAATCCCACAAGCCTAAATTGGGTCAGTGGATTTAAAATTATGCTATGTTAGAAGACTTGGAAATAATACAGAACCATAAATGTTCATACCTTTTTGCAAAAATTACCTCTCTACTATTTTCATTATAGAAAGAACTTTCCTCCTTAATATCTAATATGATGATCTATATTTAGATCACTTTCTTGTGTATTGGAAGTTGTAAAATAAATTTAGTATTTATTTTAAATGTTGATAATATGTTTAAGAGCTCATCAGATCAGAAAGGCAGGATATAAATCAAATAAATAAATATTACTGAAATTCTTAAAGCACACTTTGTAAAAGATTTTAGCAGTAACTTTTAAGGATCATGTTTAAAAATTAAAGGAATGCCTATAATAGGAAATAAAACATAAATTCATTCTGGTATAAAATAGATATTTGTTAAGATTTTTTCCCTAATGGTTTTAGAGGGACTAAGATTTCCTTATGGGGTTCTTTCTTTGCTTTTTAAGGATCTCTGTATTCTCAAGATCGAATTCTTCAAGCTATGGGCAACATCACATTAGCGTTTCATCTTCTTTGTGAACGATGCAACCCTAGTTCATTCTGGCTGCCTTACATCCAGACTCTCCCAAATGAATATAATACTGCTCTTTACTTTGAAGAAGATGAAGTTCAGTATCTTCAGTCAACTCAGGCCATACATGATGTTTTTAGCCAGTATAAAAATACTGCCCGACAGTATGCCTATTTCTACAAAGTTGTACAGGTAAGAGCCTAAAACAGAAGTTGCAGTATATATGAATTAAATTAAAGAAAAATGCATTAAAATGGTTCATTTTGTATTACTTTTGAATAGTGCAGAAAGATTTTTATATTGTTATAGTGCTTGTTTTCTTAATATATTTTTATATTTTAGCAAAACTCTGTCATGGATGGGGTGGGAGGCTTATATTTTGAAAGGAATTTAGTAGGAGTGCAGTGCATCTCTGTATATAGATTACTGTTCTTTTGGTATTCATTTCTGAGGTTTGAATCATTTTGTTTTAATGTTGAATAAGATGGTTGGCATCATTCCAACAATATCTCTGCTACAATACTTTCTTTTTTCTTCTGCTTTTTCCATACCTGCGTTTTCTCTTCCTATAGAGACAGATATGTTAAGAAACTTTTCTAGGGTAAGGCATAAGGTTTTGCAAAACATTTCAGATTTAAAACCTTTCTAACTTGAAATTTTGAATTTGAAATAATTGCTTTGAGTTCCAAATAGGCTGTTTTGACCTTTCCAGAAGTGTTTTGAGCTTGAGCCACTGTTGATTGGGCTTGAAAGAAGCAAGTTCAGAACATTTTCAAGATGGTGCAAATATTTCACATTCAGAGATGTTTTGCATATATGTAGTATGCTAAATCTGGTCCCTTGTTTAGAGGAGCCATATGTTAAAAATTGATATTACCCCCTTTGCTACTGGAGGCTTCAAGGTTATACAAGCTCATACCTGTCATACAGACCCTGTTTAACACAAATTGCACATAAACACCTTATCTTCGCTAGAAAATGAGAGAAGTTCAGAGGGCTTAAAAAAGACATATGACCATTTGGTGGTATGCAGCATGGTGTGGTGTGGTTGTTAGAAGAATTGCTGTTCATATAAGAAAAATCACTGCAATTGGGAGGAGAAAAGCTGTTGTGCATCAGCAAAAAATGCAGAGCTTGAAGGGAAGATCCAAGACTTCCAGAGATATCACTGTTCAGCAAATAGGTGGCTATGATCTGAATATCCTAGAGAAAGAGAAGGAGACTTTTGATCTGAAGTTCCCAGAAGAGAGAAAGAGACAAGCAAAGCTGTGGACAACAGAGGAGAACAATTGGCAAGTCTGTCCCTGTCTGCCCTAGCTGATTTGGAAGTTGGGGGCGGGGTATAGCCCAAATACTGTCTAATTAACTGATTATTAAGAGAACTTTCTCATGCAAGGCAGGAGGGAATAATTGTCACTTGTATAGTTAGATGGGTGGCATATATAAATTTGAAAAATAAATAAATAAATTGTAAACAAAAGCAAACCATGTTAAAGGTTATTAAGCAATAGGTAGAGGAGAAAATGAAAGTAAGAGCTTATAAATTATCAGAAAGATTGCTGTGGAACTGGTGGAAGAGATAGAAACATAGCATTTAAGAAAGGTTGCTTTATTAAGGAGCCAGTTTGGTGTAGTGGTTAAAGGCACTGGGTTAGAAGCTGGGAAATATGAGTTCTTAGGCACAAAACTAGCTGGGTGATTTTAGGCCACTTTCTCTTATTCCTAGGAAAAAGGCAATGGCAAATCATTTCCAAAAAATTTATTCATGTAATCACCAGGAATTAAGATTAACTCGAAGGCACAAGAGAGGGAGAGGGAAAGAGAGAAATAGTCTTTAAAGCAACAGAAGAGGTACTTAGGAGAAGAAGGATTTTTGAAATGTAGACTCACTATAACAAAGTTCCACATAATAAGCCTTATTTTGTAAACAAACATGTTTTGTAAATAAAAATGATTATTTCAGAATGTGTAGATTGCCAAGGATCTTGGGAGCTGGATGATGTAGAAATATGTGAAATAAACATATAATAATTACATTGTGATTTATACTTCCATCATTTTTATGCATGGATGGGATAGGTATAGTGAGCCATTGTTATGGGTTTTTGTACATGTGGCCTTTCTGTTAGCTTCATGGGTAAAATATTACAGCTGAGACCACTGAACCAAACACCTCATATAGAATTAAGTGTTTTTGGAAATGAAATTGAGCCCTATGTTCTTGTGCTTGATACATCTACAGATTGAGTAAATACAAAGATTTCTTGAGACAGAGGTGAGACACAGCACTAGAAGGAGAATACATTTTCATTGATAGATTGGTATCTTGGATCATGGCATCATGTCCTCTTAATTCATAGTACAATTTTCTTCTCAGCGCTTCTGCCTTCTTGTCATTTTGTTCCCCATGCTGTACTTAGCTTTTTCACAAATCTAATGAAGGTGTCAGTGAGTTACCAAGGCTTTATATTGCTAAGACAAGAAGATAAATACTTTTCATGTATAGCATAGTGACAGAATATCTTATCAGATTTCATTTTGTGACTCCTAAAAAATCAACCAAAATCTTCTTAGGTAACTATTCAGTGTGCATGAAGCCTTTATTGCAAAGAACATTTCCTATATAGAAATGGGTACCTCATACAGCAAAATCGTTCAACACTGCTGTTTAATGGAATAAAATCTCTGTTGAAACATATTCTACTTCCTGCCTGTCTTTACTGAATTGTAATGTCAATTTATAATAATTTTGAGCATTTTTAATATTTTAAAATGAAAGTTTTTATATAGTGTTAGTATTATCATAAAAAACATTTTGAAAACTAGGTTAGACAAATTAGTCCCAAATTGCTTTTAAAGCTGTGTGAGGGGTTTTTTTTTCCCAGAGAATATGAAAAAAATAACAGTACACATTTTCATAGTATAGTATTATAAATACCTCCTGAGCCCCATTTCTCATTTTAACTTCTGTTTTTATGTGAAGTCAGTCTTTAGTTGATTTGTTTCAAGCATCTAGGTTGCACTAAAGCTGCAGTACTAGGTGGCATTTTTTAGTTGGGCACTTCAAAACATGCCTGGACAAATTTTAAGATACTGTGATAGAACGATGAAGGCTGAAGGATTCACGTTTCCTCCCTTTAGAACAGAAGGTGCTATATTAATGAGATGCCAATGTCACAGATAAGCTCCAGCATTTAAAAAAAGAAAACTGGCAACACAAGGCTTCTAATGTTGTTTTAAATGATGGTTTTAAAAAAAATTATGCCTGCCATATGCTACCCTAGTGCAAAGTTAATAAAGTGTGCCACCAAGTGACATTATATTCAGATTATATCTTATGTGTAATAGTGACATTTGAGAGTAGACAAGTGTGATCATTAGCATGCCAACCTTCCAAAGTGAGAGATGCATTTTGAAGGAACAATAGGGTGTCTGTATTCTTTCAGAAGAACTTTTAAAAATGCATGTTCTGCTTAAATTTTTATTGTTTTACGTTAGTAGTAGAGTTGTGGATCACAAACTCTAAGCTTTAGCTCAAGTTGAACTATTGTTATATTACTGTTGTGTGAGCTCTTTGTCGCTATACTATGAAATTAACTTACAACATGACTGGATTGGATTCAGTTATGTATCATTCCCTCCAATAGCTCAGTGGAGAATGTAGTAAAAACTGAGAAAATAGCTGGTTCTGGGAAGGATATTTGCAGAAGTAAATATTTAAAAGCAACTTAAAACACAATCTGAAATTATTACCATGGAATGTTAATTACTAGATGAAAAAGGAAAACTGATATATGTACATAGTTGTGGTGGCTGAGTAGCATGGCTTTCTAGAAGGGAAAGTATAATTAACTAGAGGCCAGAGACCTTTGTGGCCAAAAGACTGAGCTACAAATCAAAAAGTCCCCGCTTTGATTTTTGTCTCTGTTATATATTCATTGGATAGTGTCAGGTGAGTCATTCTTTCTCAGCTCCTCCCACCTTTCACTATGAGAGTTAATAATGCTGCCACCTTAGAAAATTGCTGTTATGAATATAACTGGATAATGCATATGCATTTGAGCATTTGAGAGCGCTATATAATGTTGACTATTGTTTTAATAATGGTATTGTACCTGATTAGAAGCTGAAGTGGTCTAAAAGGATAACTAGGTGTATACGTCTTTTTGATGTATGTATTGTTAAGATATATATAATCCAGATTTGGCCTGTGATGTTTTTGTAGTTTAGTTGAATTTAAAATCTGGTTCCTGTAGTCTAGCATTCTATATCACACTACACTGCTCAGAGGTTTACAGGCATTAAAACAGGTATTCTAAGTCATTATACATTATACATTATACATTCACATGTTTACTTGGTAAGCAGTAATCATGATTTAGAAGTAATTCTTCATGAAAGCAGTAGGAATAAATTTTCAAGTTGTCATTTCTAAGCACTTTTTGACTGCAATTATTCTGAGTGTACTTGAAAACTGAGGGGTGCTATTCCTTCTACATCTCTTGTTATCTGTATATTACTTTTGCTTGACAACTTAAAGCAGGTGCAAGTGTATGTTCAAAAAATAGCTCTTGCTATTAGCAAAGACCCAGATGTGTAATGTAATTCCTAAAATAGACATAAGGCATTTGGCAAGACCTCTTAAGCTTGAACTGCAAAAAGAGCAGGAAAAATAGTTATTAGGCTTAAGTTTAAAACTTAACTTCTGGAGGACTCTTCAGTTTATTCTAATTTGTATGTATTTAAGCCTTCCCCCATTGTTTCAATGCATGCATGTTGCTACCATTAGCCTTTTATGAGCACAAATTATATACAGCAAAGTGAACAGAACATGAATGTTTATTGCATAATGCTCAATTCTTGAACACCGAAATGTGGTAAAATAAGCACAAGAGGGAGCCATACAGTTTATAGACATGTAGAGTGAAGATTCTTTGCTCTTTGAACGCAAAGGTTTTGGTTTGTCTTTGAAAAAGAAAAGGCAGCTGTTTCCTGTTTTAATTTTCTCTCCACATGGGCATATTTATAGCTTTATGGAAAGAAAAAGTCCTGCTTTATATTATCATACAACTGTGCACTTTAGTATATAAAAGCAGAGCTACAGTCTCCCAGCTGTACCTATTCTCTGCCAGATTGGAAAGAGAATGCAACAAAATATTGAATAATAGAAGCTCTTCTTTCATATTCTTAAT